GTGTCATGTCGTGGCTTTTGAAGTGAATTCGTCTATTTAATCAGTAATTTTTTTCTTAAGTAATAAATTTGTGTTCAATTACTGTCGAATTGCCTGTGGCATATTAGAAGACGTTTTGAAAATTGAGTTTTAAATTGGAAATAAACGTGTGTTTTTTGATTTCGTCAAGTGTTGCTCTTCATTTTATTAAAAAATTTCCTTATTTCTTGATATCATCAAAACATTTTGTTAAAAAAACAATTGTGAGCCATATATATTGTTGTTGCACACTAGTATTTCTGGTTTGAGTTATTTAAATGACAAAACTCATACATGTAACTCCCGCAATAATTACGGCGAAATTGAACTCTTTGCGCATTGTTCGCTTACTATTTCTGTAGGAATGTTTGTCGATCTACCAAGTGAATAGTCAGAATAAAAACATCGGCAAAGTCGAGGTCGACCGATGCCTGTTCGACAGGATAACTACACAACTAATTTTATGATACATACAGAATAGTAAGTTATGAAATTAGTATATAATGTTAAGCATGATTGGATGAGTACAAGTTTTAAAACGAGTGACGTTAGGAATGCTAGTGCATTATACATGTATTCGAGGAGCTTAATTTTAGGAAACAGCTTTAGATTTAACTTAGACCAAAAACACTCTTCTTTTCCTGGAAGAGGTTTTGATCCCTCATTATGGTATTCAAAAATTGAAAGCTCACATCAATGTACTCAAGGCACGCTTTTGTGAAATAATTCTTGCTTTTCTGTATTATGTACTGCTTTATTCTCTAACACTTGAATATATTCATGTTTGTTTCATTTGTAAGAAATGACTACTGTTCGTGACAAAATAAGTGCAGATATGCAGCACAGGCGTTTCTTTGGAACTCGTTGAATTTGACTTTAAGATTTAGCTGAGGTGCTAGTAGGGCAGAAATTACTATATTTTTGTAATGTTAGAATCTTACGTTTTTTAGTATTCTGGAAAATGGAATACGGTCGTCAGAAAATCTAATTATCCTAAAAACTGGTGATGTCTGTTTAGTCATGAGGACAGCGGAATATCCACTTTGAAAACATATCCCTACTTTCGTGTTGAAAACTATCGTTATTCACGGAAGGAACATTTTTCGAAAACCGATGTAAGGAAAATGGCACCTCAGCCCTACGTTTACATTCGTCTAGTGATCGAGTTTTTGACTGAAAAATACATTTCAAGCGGAGTGTGTATATTGGCTAATAACAAATATGTCCTAGAAACACAAAAACATTTTAATTTTCTTTAAAGCACATTTTTGTACAAAATTCTACACTGCGGTTCTCGATTTTGAGAGAAACAGTGTATTGTAATATGCGAAACTTGACTTGAAAAATATATTCTCAAACCTGGAAAACCGGGAAAAGCCTTGAATTCGAAAAAGTCAGATCGCTTGCCACTCTGATGTCTAAATACATCGGTTTTTTATTTTAAGCATCGATGTCTAGAAGCATTGATGTTTTCTTGGCAATGTCACGCCCCAACTATATGCCAAAGCTCCCACACTGTGTCGTTTCGTAGACAGCTGAAGGACGGAAGGATGCATTCAGCCACGAAGGCGTTATCTCCCCAGCGGCCTCCGGTAGGCACGACCTTGCCCGCCTGGGAAACCCGGCGCTCCTACGAGCGCGGGCCCTGCTCCCGACCCCGCGACGTGAGCCAGGTCGAGATCAGCCGCTGTCTGGAGGATATTTCTAGCGACCGCCTGCTCTGATCGGTAGTATTCCATGCCTTGCGCGCCGATCACCAGGCGAATGCCGGAGCAGTGCCCTAAAGAGCGAGCCATGGACCACGCGTAGTCTTCCTCTTCCTTTACTCACACATACGTACATGCACTACACATGTAGGGAGTGTAGAGTGGGGGGAAAACCCCGCGAGCCGACATTTACGTCCGACCCGATTCTCATAATGCAAGTTAAGAAGTGAGATCACCGGCACCTCCCGCAGTAAAACATGCACTACACGTACGAGACTAATGGCAACAGTTGACGCGCTCGAAAACACCAATCAATGAACTAACGTGTAGGTTGACGCCAATTTTCGCCAGCCAGTGGGGGAGATCACTGCCAACTCCAGCGATAAAACCTGCCCTTCATTTCTGGGACGAATTATCTTGACGCACCCGAAAACACGAAAAAAATCAATGAAACAATATCCTGGCTGCGTCCTCACTTCCCTTCCAAATCTAAAAAGGGGAATACAGTGAAGCACCACAATAGCGTGGCAGCGTGAGGTGATCAGACGCTACCACGACGTTGTTACGCGAATTGCTTAACTACGCTCCGTGAAGTCAAAGAAGTTAAGCAACTCGAGAATTTAAGGGAGGATTACGATCAATGACCGAAAATAACTAAGCGCAGAGTGGACTTTAAATACAACGAATATTTTTAGATCTTTCAAAAGATTTTGACGTCATTGATCAAAACATTTTACTTTCAGAATTACCTTCGAATGGAATTCATGTTATTACTCTAGATCGGTTATTTTCGTATCTTAACGCTAATTGACTAAAATCTCATTTTGTGACACTATTTTTAAAACTGCCATCAAAAATAAAGTCGTGATGGCAAACCGCTAGATTTTGATTTTGTGTGAGAAATAGAATGAATTTTATGGTTCCATAATCACTGTCCAGATGGTAACGGTCACAACAAAATTATAACGCCAGGAACATGAGATGAACACGAAATGGCCCTCTCTTTGTCTAACTTGTAACCAATATTTTCGTACGAAACAGGATTATTACTCAACAATGAAGCTTACCTTTAAAAAATTCCATTGTTGAAAATAGTAAAATATTTCCAACAGTACTTTTAGTAAATAGTATTGATCAGTGTTTGCTTATGGAAGGGTGCAGTGAAATAAAAATAAAATACCAGAATCCGGGAGACCTCGCTAAGTGAGAGTAAATCTCCCCGAGTGAGCGCGGCGTGTCGAAGTGCGGGTGCGGAAGGCCCGATTGCATGGCATTGCGCGCAGCTGCAGGGGCTGTCGGCGGAGGAGGGCGCGGCGGTGGTGCTGCGGCTGCTGGCCAAGGACGGCGCGTGGCGCCTGTGGCGGGAGCGCGAGGGCGCGGCGCGGTGCGTCTTCCAGTGGCTGCTCACGTCGGCGCTGGCGCTGGAGCCGCTGGCCGCCGCGCGGCGCCGCCTCTGCGCGCTCGTCACCCTCTGGCCCCGCGCCGCGCAGCTGCGCAACTACGACCTGCTGGCCGACCTGCGCAAGATGTTGGGGCCCGCGCGCAGCGCCTACCACGTCTTCGCGCTCGCGCAGACGCTCACGCAGCAGGTAGGCAGGCACGCGCTTGGCGTCTCGCGCGCAGCGGACGGACTCTTGCGTCTCGCATGACAACTCTTCCGCAGCTGCCCAACAAAACAACCGTGCGACAGGTGGGTTAGCCAATGGCTTGCGCAGCACATGGCTAACCCCATCCGTAGAGCTAAGCCAACTCCCGGGCCGCATTTTCCGCTCGGTAAATCTTTCTCGCTGCAAATAGATATATTTCACCTCAGCCCATGCGGGCGCGCAGTATGTGCGAATTTTTCTCTCGTTTAGGCACTACCTCGTCTGCCGGTGGCATATGCTTGATTCCAGCAGGTCAGAATTTGGGGTAATGCATGGGTGTTTGGAGAGCCCAACCATGCTGTAATATACAAGCGAATATCCATGGCTAAGGCGATTTTGCAACCACGACCCTTTGAATACAGACTTAAGGTTTTTTTTACAGGGAGCTATATTATTTACTTCATTTACAAGGAATCGGTTCTTGGTCGTGTCGCTCTTTCGCAATTCACTGCTTTGTCTAAGACGCACACCCCCAACTCATTTCAGGCCCCCTGCCCCGCTCTTTTGTATTGATTTTATGGGGTCGGATATCTCCACATCCTCAAGTGTCGAATGTAACCCATCTACCCAGCAGCCACAGCCATAGGATATACCAGAGGATCGTGCCGCCTGTTAAGTAGCAGGGTAGAGAGCCCCCCCCCCTGTTCCTGATACAGGAAGAAGGTGAGGTGAGTGTTTCTGGTTGTTTTGTCTGCCCCACGAGGCTCACCCCCTTCGCGAGATTCGTCCCTGCCCCCTCCGGCGCTAGTGTCTTTCCATTTGGGCGCAACTGCCCCAAACCCCCGCACCACCAGACAGACCAAGATGCAAGACGAGACAAGTTAATTGGAAGAGCTCTTCGTCGACACATCACACAAGCAACATCCATGTTTATCCAAACCGGCTTAGGGCTTATGATAGAAAATGTTTAAATATGGATAGGCCACATCACCAAAAACTTTCGAAGTCGATGAAAATTTGACAAACAATATCGATTATTTAAGTATGATAAAACAGGTGGTAATTTCCATTTCAATGCGTCGCAGGGAAGTCTCTCCGCAGTGGCACCTTGCTGGTGAGAGGCCTTGCAACAGACATTATAATGGTATTAGCTGTAGCTTGTAAAAAGTTAACTGCGTACTCCCCACAATCATAAACAGATGCTGGGAGCTTTGTCTCCTTCACTTGTTCCCCAGTGATCTGGTTGCTACCAACATAAATGCAATTTTTAATACGAGGATCTGACTCGGCTCAGTGTGGAGACTTTCCTGCTACCCTATACTATATTAAAAGCCATCTTTACCAAATCAAAAGAAAATTAAAAATAAAGGATAAAGTGTTTTGCTATTTTTCCATTGATTCACTTCCATTCATAAATCATCGAATTTAAACGCTCACAATCTAAAGTTATACTTGAAATGTTTCTTTGATTTGATGTGGTTTGAAATCGATTCAAAATTGATTATTTATTTTGTGTTTCCGGGCACACAACTTACGAGTCTTATCTGGTCATTGTTGTATCCAAAAAAAGAACAGTGATTCCTAAAACTGTTTTTATTATCACCACAAGCCAAAAATAGATAACCTAATACACGCCAGATCGAACAATATTCCGGGAGATGTGCCGTAGTCGTTCACCGTTTCACTGGAGGAGTCCGAGTTCGTAGCCGTTCCGTAGCACTCTTCACTTGACATTATACACATGCAGGTAGGCGCTTCACTGACCACCGCTCTTATAGCCCGCTCGGGCCGAAGGCCCGCCGGCCAGCTGTCCGATAAGGGCGGGCTCTCTTGCTCCGGGGCTTGGCCGAGCGTGACGGTGCCGCGGCGTCAGTAAACGGCACCCTCTCTTGTGCGGCGCCGGAACTACTTTCCGGCGGCAACTTCAAAGGCGCGCAGTCGACCATATCAGTCATTAGTCTCGTAAGTTGTGTGCATGTTTTATCGCGGGAGGTGGCGGTGATCTTCGGATGGCGAGATCCAGCGCGACCTACACGTCAGCTTGCGGTTTTTTCAATCGATGTACTAACTCACCTGCGTGGGACTACCCAGAGCCGGGGCATGCTCGAAGCTCTGGTATCACGTCTTGCGTGGTAGTGAAGTGTATGTGAGAAGATAGGACAAGGAACACAGAGCACGAGGTAGCGCGCGATCCATGGTCTGTTTGTTAGGGTAGTGCTGATGTTGATCGGAGATTCCACGGAAAACTACCTGAGCAGCCGGCCGCGGCTGAAGTCGACCTTGCAATCTAGCTGTATGTATGTACTTGGCGCGACAGCCCGTGAACGGGTCCCTGGCCTACTGACGACGTCTCTGCCTCGCGGCCATGGGTTAAACGGGCCCGTGTGGTCAGCACGTGACACCCCCCCCCCCCGCCGCATTCTGGTGTTCTCAACCTGAAGTGAATTGTATCATTGTAACACAATAACATGTATTGGGACAATGCAAAGAAAACACACAATATAATCTCCGCTAGATCGGAAATCAAAGCGCGGCTGCGTAGTGGAAAGCGAGCACGCTGACCACGTGCTATCTAGCTAGTTTTGAAAATTCTGCCCCGACGGGACTGGAGCTGCCTGGCATCCCTGTCAGAGGCATTGCATCAGTTGATGCCCTGCAGCACCTCCGAATAGCCACCTTCCGACCAGTCGGAAACCGAAACGTTTTGCTTCATAAAACCCAATACGAAATATTTTTTTTAATCAACACCTGGGCAGTACGAGGGGTGTTGAAAAAGAAACCGACATTCTGCTATAACTATTCATTGTTCAACATTTTAATAACTGTTTACCTCAATGTAGTCCCATTTCGTAATTTCCTACATCTCGCCCTATTTTGGAAAGACTCTTTGAACGCGCATTCTGGAAAGGTGTACAGACTTTTCATCATTAGCCTGAATCTCCACTACGCTTTGGAAGCGTTCTTTCAAAGTGTATTTAAGTTTAGTTTCCTAGGGAAGGTCTGCTGGAACTAAATTCGGAGTGTAGGGTGGATCGGGAGTTTGATTCTTTGCCAGATACCTGCGAAAAGGAGCGACGCAATAACCGGCCCATCGTCATACTGCAGAATCCAACACGATTTACCACAATTCAGGCATGACCGTCGAGCAGCATTCCTCAAATTGGCTAAATGTATCTGGTATTTCTGGTAGACTTTCTTATTCACCGTCTGCCCACGTGGTACAAATTACGGGCAATGACTTTGCAGTCAAAAAACACAAGCTTCACTTTAATCTTTGACCAATTTATGCGTGCTTAATTTGGACGAGGAGATCCTTTGTTCACTCACTGTCACTACTGGTCAGCAATTGATATGTGTCTGTAAACGATTTGCCAAGTTTACAGCAAAATTTCACACACACATTGTTCTTCAAGCTCTTTTAACGTTATTTTGGTGCTAATCCGACGAAGGGCTCGAGATATTGCCACTTTAACGGTGGCAGTTCGGCGACAGTTGTAGCAAATTGAGATAAATTGGAGTTTGTGGTTAAAACTGCAACTAAATGCCCTTTGAAGACAAAACGCACTCTCTCCGCCGGTTGGCTCACTATTTCGATTCTTGTTAAACACCGTTTGTATGTTTTGAATAAATAAAGTGCAAACGAAAAAACATCGTGTGATCTTGTACGCTAATTGAAAGAGTTATTTATTTTGAAGAGCAACATTTATTTTCAGCTTGGTGGCACCTGCCGAGCTCTGTGCATTGAGCTGTACATCCGAGGCATCACGACTCAGATGAACGACTTGGCCCACGCCAAAAGCCAGCAACTGCTCATGTCGATCAAGGACGTGGAATTTCGTTTGAGCACCAGCCTCATGGAGTTGGCTGACCTGCTGCGCCAGGACGTCTCTGTGTGGAGGGAATGCATTTTGACAGCGTTCTCTTTGAACCCGACCCGCGAGTGCTTCGGCCAAGTGGAGAGCGCGGCAGTGGAATCGTATAAGCGCCTGCAGGCACCGACCTCTATGGAGGTTCGCTTTTCCAGGTACGTCAGGGTCCAAAAAATGTTGTACATCGTTCATAAAACAGCAATATGTCGGAACCAACAATAACTTCATTTTACAGGAGAACTAAATATCGGATAAGCTTTTATGGTTTCATCTTACTTTTGATCGAAGGCTGCGCTGGCATTTACATGAGAGGCGAATTCGATCAAAATTACAATAAAGAGTTCGCCTCTTACAACCTCTTTTGAGAGATCCTACACTCCCCTTGGAACTTCGCTTGGCACTCTATAAAACGTGTTGCCGGCCTGTGCCCACCTACACTGCGGCAACGTGGTGCACTACAGCACAAAAATACAAGGATGCACTTAAGCTGGTACAGAACAAAGTTCTACGTCTCATAGCACGCCCTCCGTTTCGAAAACGGTCTACAGTACCGAGGAAGGAACTTGATATCGAGTCCTTCACTCAAAGCTTGAGACGGCTTTCGTTTAACGAAGCCTATCAAGCCTTTCAAACCGACGAAGCTCCGGCAACGCTAAAAAAGGTTAACACGACACGTCCTTACAATAGGGCAAAGAAAATAAGAACTCCCCTCTGATATTCTAAGGGCGTAGTGCAACACAAAAGCCGATTTGGCTATTGACTAAGGTCCGAATCCACACCAGCCACACATAGCAGTAAAACGCAAAATTGCGTGCGCACTACAACACAAAGCACAGTAACCTTTTGCTAAGCCAAATAAAGAAAGAAAAAAGGATTTTATCTTAGACTTTGTATAATTAAACTTACTTAGGTTTCTCCTTTATAGTTATAATGAATAGAATTTGATATTTTTAAATTGTTTTCAATAATTCAGCATACAACATTTCGCTGACAGATTACAAATTATTAATAAATAACGTTCAGTTTTTATAAACTTAAGCAGAAAAATATTATATTTCAAATGTGAAAATTTGAAAGAAGGTTAATTCTTACACAATGAATCTATTAATGTCAAAATAACAATTTCATAAATTATACGGGATACATTTAGCAGTTTCATGAGTGATATTTATGTACGTATGTTTCGTGAGTGATATTTAGCATTTCAGGTTTGGATGAATTAGAATTTTGCCGGCTAGTGGTGTTCACAGGCTTAGGCAGTTTTTATTATCCATGGGTGAGGGTAAGGAGAATATGTGGCCCGCACGGGGAATCCCCTTCAACATACCTAGATTATTTGGCATGACTGAGCTTTTCTTTCGTCACACAGCTTTGGAATCTGACACGATTGTAATGGAGAGACTCAGCTTTATTTTTGCTTCAACCGCGAATCGAAATCCGCGATCACTCCACGAGCCACCCTGGGAGCTAAAATGTAACTAATAAGATGCATGTTTTAAATTGGTTGTCATTATTGTAATCGATTTTTAAAATATTTTTCAGTCCCTTTTTACCAACTGGCTTTAGTGTATACAATATAGAGACAGTTATGTAATGCTGTGGGGAATAACGGAGACTTTTTGACACAAAAACTCCTACCGCCAGGCTCTGGTAACGATAACTTAAAAGCTTGCTATACTGTCTGCCTGAAAAAATCAATGGACCATCCAAGAATTAAAACAAAAAAAAAAATTCAAGAAAGTCAGTCGTTGAGTAATTTAAAATGTAAATAAGAAAATAAAAAAACTGGATAAATTTAGTTAATAAATTTAGAAGGAAACATCCTCTAACATGAGGTTTAGGAAGAATCTATGATTTGTGGGTCCTTGATATCGAAACATCGATGGTCGGCACACGTCCCTGCGTCTGTGAACAACGCTAGCGGATAACCCGTTCTGCCGATTTTCTTCAAACTTGATATTCTCTAATCGATCTGGCTGATGTCGTGGCTCCTCGAATTTGAAACAGATATTTTCTTTTATTTTGGTAGGTACTTTTCATGAAGCCCCTGGAAAAGTTCCAAGAATTTTTGTTCCAAGAAGGTTTTGATTAAATTTTGTTGTTGGATAGTGTAAAGGTCATTTAGAATGTCGGTGGTCTGAATCGCGTCTGAATGTCTGATAAAGATAAAATAAGATACGATTAAAACTAACTTTTCGAAATTGCAAAATATAAATTTTTTAAGAGTCTTCGTGCAACTAAAATATTGAAGATAACGATTTTTTTCCTTAACAAAAACTGTTCCTGCAAGAAAGATTTTGAAGTACGGTCGTCAAATAAGGTTTTTTGCGCAATTTGGCTTCGTAAATATTGAAATTTTCAATAATTATTTTCTCATAAACGACTCAAAATTATTTTTTAATTCCTTTTTCGCGTATGTAGCAAAGAACGGTAACGAAAGTTGTGCTAGTCCCACTTCCGGCTGTATATTTTCAAAGAGAGGGAAAGAAACATTCAAATTGGTAAATTCAAATTTTCCGAGCTTTGTTCGAAGTACCATCAATGTATATTTGTAATAAGACCGCCACGGGGTACAGCGTCAATATATAAAGAAATAATCTAAATTGAAATTAGCCAAATTAGGTTTTATTGAACAAAAAATAACATTAAAAAAGTACAATTTCAATTACAGTTTCTTCGTCATGTTGCTGGACGTGAACTGCACTCCACCACGCATTTAACTTAATCAAATATATTTTTGTATATATTCTCAAGTATATAACGTATGGTTTACTTATATATTTTCAAGAACATAACAAGTGAGCTTTTATTGAACTGGGTATGTTTTAGTTATTTATTTATGTAATTTATTAACTTCTTCCTTCCTTTAACGAATATTCTGAATATCAGTTTAGGGTGATCATTGTGAACTAATTTTGTAGATTCATTTTCAGTTGTACAAGATGAGGGTGACAGAACAGACTCCGAAACGTTCGGATTTCACAGAATAAAATTATGAAAAAAATGTTCTATGTATTTATTGTGGGTTTCCATCCTAAATTAAACTAATGGTGCTAAAGAGAGGCACAGACTTTCCCGTAATGGTTTTTTATTTCCTTTGGAATCGGCTAGCTATTCGGACTTGCTACATACTCTTGCCAATCTATCCACGCCCAAAATACATTTTTTTATATTTTCTTACTTTTTCGGTTTTTTAAAAGTAGAAAGGAAATATTATTTTAAGAACAGTTAAACCTCGTCCTAAATTGCAATTTTCTTTGAAAAATTTATAGCCGTTTTTAAGGAAATTGCGTTTAAGCCCTACTGTAAATTCGTAATTTGAAGCACTTTTTCACAGAAATTTTTTGTGTTTTCGGAAAACTTCATTAGAAGTCATTTGAAGCGTATTAAGTATACGATAGTGATTACAAATCATTGGAAATGTGCGTATTAACGGCGTGAGATATCTTTCAAATAAATTATACTTGTGTAATAAAAAAATCCGCGAAATGAACTTCTCAATATATTAAAGCATGCAACAAGCACTAGCCGTTCGAAAAAGTTTGAAGAAAAAATATGAACCGTTTATGAGAAAATGACGTTTGATCGTTTCTGAAAATGCGGAATTTTGAGCAAGTTTTCAAAAACGAGTTATTTTAATTATTTTTAATGGCACATATTTTACGCAATATTGCGAAGAAAACTATTAAAAATTTCATAAAATATGCGTATCTAATGAAAGAACTCACTATGAAAAAAATGTATATGAAGGAAAAACCTCTGAAATGTATATGAAGCAAAATCTTAAATTTTGTAGTTCTAGGTAGACGCGAAAAAAAACTAACTCTTGCAATTTTGAACATTTAGGGATAACAGTGATAATCTGACCTATGCCTCCTTAATAAATGTATTTTACTCTATTCTTACAAAGAGAAAAAAAGGTTGGAGCTGTTGTTGAAAAAAGTTTGAAAATGTGCGAAGAGCTTTTTACAAAGCACCCCCAAATTTCGAAGATACTTTTTCAAAATCGCGGCTCATTGCGTGAAGCCAGAACGATCGGGGAATATCCATTTTGGAAAAAATCATATGTATGGTGTAGGATCTAATAGTGTTCGCAAACTGACAGATGGACTGACACGTTTAAAAAACACTTTTTTGCTACCAGGGAAAGCTAAAACGTGTATTTTCGTTGAAATCTAAGATATTGATTTTCCACAATATTACATAACTTTCTTTATACTACGTATATTTCGCCGTATATACGTACGTATAAGGAAAAGCAAAAAGGGACTGAAAATGTTTAACAACTAAATGTTGGAACAATATAAATATGGTAAATACGTAGTACTCCCAATCTTCTTGCAAACCTACTATGGAAGATCATATGGACTAGATTTGGAAGAAGACAATGACGGGGAGTATTATTTTCTCTTGCAATAACAAATCTATGCCAGATGATCGTGTCTATTACTGAATAGCCGGGCATTGTAATCCCGGGGGTTCTGGTGTCGAATCGCTCTTTGCAGGGTGACCGTGACGGACGTGTACGCGACGGCCGGGCGCTGCGGCTCCGTGGACGTCCTCCTCGACCCGCGCAGCGTGCTCGACGCCGGCGCCCTGGGCTTGTCGCCCGCGCTGTGCGACGACCTCGCGGTCATCTTGCGCTGCCTGCGCTACCAGGCCCTGCAGTGGAGCCTGGAGTGGGGCGAGCTGAAGCGCAGGTGCATCCGGTACATGGAAGATATCAAGGAGCGCATCAACTCCCCCAGCGAGCTCAGGTTCCTCAAAATTGACTTCGACAATTTGAGAAACAGCTCTTGCGAGGATGTCAGAAACTTCTTTGGAATCAACGGTACGTCGCCACAGTGGAATGAAAACGCCGATGAATCTTGCGTTCAGATGATTGAACGCTCCTACAAGCAAGTGTATCCGGACGAGAAAATGGAGATAGTTTTTCAGGAAGTGAAAAGGACTTCTACTTCTCGCCTCTCGTCCCCGATGTCAGAAGTCACCACTCACACGGCGGTAGGCGTCCACGTGAGTCAGTCACAGAGCCTGCTGGTCAGGGCGCAAAGGGACCCCGTGGATGAAACCACTCGTGAAGGGTCGAGCGAAGACGAATGGCAGGACACGAAGAATAAGAAAGGACATGCGCACGAAAAGAAGCACAGGGGCGCACGAGGCAGTAATAAGAAATCTTGCGTGAAGATTGATAGGTCAGTGAAACGGAAGGTGATTGGGATGAAGGAAGAAACTATCGTAGAAGATTCGTTCACGGAAGTCACTTCTCTTGAGGAAGAAGCAGACGTAGGGTTTGCGCAAACGATTGCAAAGACAGAGACCGAAATGGAAGATTCGACATTGAGCTGGTTGTTTCAGGATGACGTGAATCTGAACAGCATTATTGAAAATATTCCAAACGGTGTTGAGGCTGATCAGGAACTGCAGTCGGCCATGGAATACTTTGATCTGGAATGTCCACCGATGGATGAAATTGCTACTCTTCCTCACACCTTTCCAGCAGACGCAACTGAGACATCGCTGAAAAAAGACTTAGAAAAATCGTTGCCCATATTCCACAACACTCAAATGGAGTCGAATACAGGAAATGAGGTAGATGCGTCTTTGCACCCCCATGATCAAAAAACAGAATACGAAAAACCGCTACCGGTAATTTCTGACCGCCAGGATACGCAATTGATCGAATTAGGTGGCTATCTGGAAAACAGGACATTAGTCGAGAATGTTTGTGGAAGTGTTATAACTTCGTCATCTTGCATTAAAAAACCTAAGAAGCGAAGGAAGGCTAGAAAAACCTGGGACATTAGAAAACGAAAAAGTCAACCTAAAGGTAAACCAAGTAGATGCTCTCAGAGATTTTCGAATTTAAATACTACAGAACCACATATTTTGAACGGTGAAAAAAGTGTTGTAGGTAATAGAAGAAGCTTAAGTAAGACACACGTAAAAGACACTTATGCAAATAAAGAAACAATCCTCCAAGAAACGGAAATGCCTTCTCAAGCTCGAAGGCGGAGACCCAGATGGGACAGTGTTCTTTTGAACCAATGTTATAAACAAAGGATCAGGAGTATTACTTGCAGAAAACTACATTTTTTGAAAGAAAATGGTGATATAGATTGTGATTGTCCGGAACAAGAGAAAAAGAGCTCCAAAAGTTTCGAAACTTCTTCCAGGGAGGAGATGTATGTCGAGAAAAAGAAAGGAAGAAAGGCCAAACGAAGAAATGCTGATGAACCTGAGACTGCAGCAACAGTTGATTTACCAGAATGTTGCGATCCGCTAAGTTCTGATTCATTTATTATGCAAAGCAGATCACTTACTATTGATACTCCCGAAAATAATTGTGGAAGAGAGAATTTTATGAAAGTAAATTTAGAACAAGCTTGTAATTATTCAACTCCAAATTTAGGAACACCTCAGGATACATTAATTACTTCTGTTCGTGAAATGAAAAGTCCTAAAAGAACAAAAGGTCTTAAACAGAAGACACCGAATTCCGATTCTTATCAGAAGGTACCTTCAGTTCAGTTACTTAATGAAGCAGAATGTATCTTCCCTGCTGTCGTAGAAAGCTCATTTTTTGACAATGATACAGAGAATAAAAACGAAGAGTCACATTCCATGAATGTAAACAAGGAAAGGGACAATGTATCTTATGAGAAAAAAATTGGTACCATACTCAGTGTGTCCAATACTCCTTGCCAGGTCATAGATGTTCCCACAATGAAGATAGAGATGATGAAGAAAACAACATTCACCAATACTCCTAAGAAAACACTTAATAGCAATGCAAATAACGGATATTGCACCGACTCGAATGTTGCAGGTACGTTATCTTTCATCCAGGAAAATCCAGTTCCAGTTAATAATGGAGAAATAGACATATTTTCTTTGGAGCAACATTCAAGAGCAATGAACAATCAGGCAATAAAAACACCTACAAGAAAAGGAGAGAAAAATACTACGCAAAGCAAATATATCAAGAGAGGAAGGAAACAGAAGGGATTGGGTGACGGGTCGCATACAAGATCTCAAGAAGACGCTATACATGAAAGTAATTCTGACTCCCCAATTGTAACTGGAGATATTGAACCAGAAAATGAAAAAATACCAAGCCAGCTCTTAGCAAATGATAACACACCAAAGGATTTTAACAATACGCAACAAAAAGTACCTACATTATTGGGAATCTTCAATGCTTTAGAGATAACACCTACGATAAACGCCGCAAAGAAGATAAAGTCACCGTGCACCTCTGCGATTGAGCCTATTACCGAGTTGTCGAATGTTGCCAATTCGACTGAGAGAGAGCAGGGAACCAGATTACTTGAGACGAGTGGTAAGATGCAACACTTGATGTTTGAGAATGGGGCAACAGGCGATGTTCATTTGAAACAAACTTCTGAATATCTCTGTTCATCTATCGGTGATGTAGTTACATCGACGAAAAAGAAAACAAAAGAGGATGCACTGAACATTACTAGTCGCGACGCAAGTCGTGAGAACGAAACAGAACAAAAACCTAACGATTTTACAGACTCGCTCATTTTATTACCAGTTGAAGATGTACAAGAGAATCTACATACCGATAATGTGCTAGATACTAGTGAAGTCAGTGGGTTGGAATGCGATAGTTTAAAACTAAATCCAGCCGCAACTTTTTGTACATCGATTCCTCGGGAAACACAAACCCCCAAGAAAAAGAGAGGCAGAAAACCGAAGGTAGTGGATTCCGCCTTTTTAACACCTGCATGTATAAAAGAGAGCCAATATGACGAGGAAGTACTCAGTAGTAATGAAAACACGAGAATGGAGAAAGGAGTTTTAGAGCGGAATGCACCAGCAATTATTTGTGCCGCGATTTCTCAGGAAACACAAACTCCCACCAAAAAGAGAGGCAGAAAACCGAAAGTAGTGGATTCCGAATTTTTATTACCTATTGTGTATAAAAAAGAGAGCAAATGTAATGAGAAAGAGTTCAGGAACAGTGCAGAAGCTGGAATGGAGTGTGATGTTTTAGAACAGAATACACCCGCGCATTTCTGTGACAAGTTTCGTCAAAAAGTGGAAACTACTACAAAAAAGAGAGGTAGAAAACCAAAAGTATTGGATTCCGCCTTTTTAACACCTGCATATATAAAAGAGAGCTGTTGTGACAAGGAAGTGCTCAGGGCAAATGGAAGCAGTGGGATGGAGAGTGGCGTTTTAGAACAGAATTCGACCGCATTTTTTTGTGCCGCGATTCCTCAAGAAACTCTAACTTCTACGAAAAAGAGAGGTAGAAAACCGAAAGCAGTGGATTCCACCTTTTCAGCGCCTGCTGGAGATGTAAAAGAGAGCCTGTATGTTGAGAATGTGTTCGGGCCTATTGCAAACCCTGGAATGGAGTGCGATGTTTTAGAACAGAATACACCGGCACGATTCTGTGACACGGTTCCCCCGGAAAAGGAAATTACCACAAAAAAGAGGGGTAAAAAAACGCAAGCTGTGGATTTCACCCATTTAACACCTGCTGGAGATGAAAGTGAGAGCCCAAATAATGAAGTGCTCGCGTCTTTTGGAAATGCTGAAACAGAGTGCGATAGTTTAGAACGGAGACCACCCACATGTGTCCGTAACACGATTTCCCTGGATATACAAACTCGCACCAAAAAGAGGGGCAGAAAACCGAAAATAATTGATTCCGCAATTTTAGCACCTGCTGCATACGTACGTGTTGACAAAGTGCTCGAAACTAGAGGAGAAACTGGAATTGAGAGCGATTGTTTAAAACTGAGTCCTCCTGCACAAGTTTGTGACATGTTTCCTCAGGAAATACAAACTCCCACCAAAAAGAGAGTAAGAAAACGGAAGGTATTTGATTCCGAATTTTTAGCGCCTTCTGCTTACGAAGCAGATTTTTCTCAAGTTGAAGTGCTCGCGACTAGTGGAAAGACTGGAATGAAGAGCGATGATTTAGATGAGATGGCACCATTTTGCAAAACGACGAGCCAGCCAATAACTTCAAAGAAAAAGACAGGAAGAAAACCAAATGCCTCCTTTGTAGTACACTCACAAGATGTACAAGAAACTCCACACGTTGAGCAAGTTCTCGGGACTTGTGGAAACCATGGGACGAAGTGCAATGGTGCAGAACAGGCACATTTTTCTCACACAATTCCCCAGGAAATACAAACTACCACTAATAAGAGAGTAAGAAGACGGAAGGTATTTGATTCCGATTTTTTATCACCTGCGTATATACAAGGCAATCCACATACTCAATTGCCCGATACTTGTAGAACCATTGAAAATGAAAGCGAGGAAGTAAGACAGAATTCCCCTGCACATATTTTTAATATAATTCCCCAACACGCGCAAACTTTTACGAAAAAGAGAGGCAGAAAACCAAAAGTAGTAGATTTTGCCTTTTCAGTACCTACCGGGAATGAAATTCCCAAGAAAAGGCCAGGCCGGAAACCAAAAGTATTAGATGGTCGTTGCAAAATTTTATCTACTATCAGAACAACCAAGAAAATAATTTCTGATTGTCAAATTGTGGGAAACAAATCATCTGCAGTTCAGAGAGAGGAAACTACCTCGAACAAAACGAAGAAAGTGCATATTTTGATTCCGGAGACATTTCCACCGTTTCAATTTGCGAACCAGTCTAATTCACATAATAAGGAAGTTAAATCAATCAGTGACCATGTATTTAGCAGAAAAAATAGCGAAAACCCACCGTTGAAAAGTAATGGTAATGAAGAAATATATAGACTTAATTTTCAGGACAAATCTGCATTGGGTACTACCAATATGTGCTACTCGGAGATGAAGACAACTACAAATAAGAATCCGATAATAGATAAAATGTTCAATTCAGGAAAAGTACAAAACGAGGAAATTGAAAATAAGATGGATTCCATTGCACCAGTTACAGATGACAATTTAGATGTTCCCAATGCATCAAAGGGAAATAAAGATGATCCGTCAAACATAATGCAAATAGGACTATCTGAAGCCTGTAAAGATAACCGTACCGAACCTGTTCAGAAAGTTGTGAACGCAAGTGCATCACAACCAGCTCTGACATCCACATTGAAGCATATCAAATCTGCTGGTCAGTCATTGAACATCCTCGTCCTGGGCGAGTGCTCTAAAGCTAATTCTCTGAGCAAGTCACATGTTCGCAAGATAACGTTGCACCACCCAGCGGACCAAGCGAATCACAAAAGAGAAACAAGCCCTAAGCAGCACCTGGTCCAGACGTCTCAAGAATCCTCAATTTGTGTTCAGACAAGCAAAATGTGTACGAAATCACAGGATTTGGAGAAGACAAATCAGGTGAGATTCATTTCTATTATGATGGTAAAAATGTGGTAATAAGTTGCATACTAATGCCATTACGGTTCCCGGTGGAGAGGACGGGCTCACAAAAGGCTCCTAAAGTAAATTTAAAAGTAATTTAAAGCAAAATCTATATATTTAACATAGCTGCATGATTTAATACTCGTAATAAAATAATATGTTTTTGCGTAATTTGGTATTAAAATATTTTCAGTTCTCGAACTGCACCAAAGACAAATCTCTTTCGCATATTATCTGCACTTGAATTACTTTCCTCGGGGACATAGATTGTTAACTTTTTGGACTAGTTTACCATTCACTACATTGCTCCAAACGTACAACACTGTGGGTCTGAGGAAAAAGGTCCATTTTGACCGAAATGATATTTATTATTGGCACAATAATATGGGTGTTGTGGTGTGATATCTTTGGCATTTTTAAAATAATTAAAGATGTTGTCATTGCCAACAATATTTTTTAATGCAATAGCAGCTTTCGATGGCTTAGCCATCATCATCAGTTGTCTGATACAAGAAGAAAAAACAAAAAAACAAAATATTAAAACGTGAATTAACAACAAGATTATGATAAAGATTACAAATA